CAAAGGGAACATATATTTACTGTAACTGGTTTCAATGTAACCTGTTAACATTAACAGTGTGTGAAACCTACCTCAGCATGCTTTGTAAAGATAGACAGAGTTCATCCCTCTAGGCAGGCAAAGGAGACAGCTTACTGCAGCACATTGAAACATTTTGCTATGTTAGGGCCAAGGTTGCACTACCTCATCTTCGTCACTGCAGACTGTGACACTTACACAGCACTTCAAAAAGCTAAAATCTCATGTTTGGTTTCTAGGGGTCTAGTGTTAACAGAAAGCAGCAAAACAAGTTAAAACTCTGGTTTGTGTGCACAGCTGCATTTGTCAGCTAGTTTAAAGTTGATACTTCTTAGTACTGCATATGGAAATGGTGCAGATGCCACATTGTTTGTGTTACATATTTAATATAAGCACTACAGTTGCTGCAGCCTAACCCAGAGCCTAGACATTTATGATGCAAAAGTGAGGTAGAACTACTCACCATGTTTCTGGCACTCTTATAATGTACTATATGATCATGTTAGTTGAAAATGAGTAGATAAAGAAAATTTAAGATAAAGAAGGACTAGATCAAGTTAGTCTGAAAGTTGTGTTTATAGATTAGCAGTTAGTTAAAGCTGCACTCCATGGTAGCCAATTATGAATATTATATAATCAAAAGAAGACACATGGCAGTTTGTTTTCCTTTGGTTTGAGTTATAGCCCTACATGCTAAAAACCTTCTGTGGGTCTTCTGTGCTTTCCAAACAATAAAATAGCTTGTTATACAATAACTACATAAAAAAATAACAACACTACCAATTTACAACTGGGTTTAGTTTATGTAATTTACATGTACATAAACTAGAGACTAGAGACAAAAGACTTAACATCTTCACAAGCAAAACTACTGCTTTGCTATGTTCACAGGGAGCTAGACAATATTACAGAGACACAATCAAACTTTTAGGGCATCGACTTTTACTGTTAGAAGTTTTACAAGTTAAATTCCATGTCAACAATAGTGTGAAGGGCACATTCACATGAAAGGTTGCCATTTTAGAAAAATGGCATTGATATACTAAATAAAACCTGTTATGCATTTGCTATATTAATGTACTGTTATTAATCACTGTGAGATAGTGCAAAAATGTTATTGTTGTTGTATAGTGAAAATTACAGATGTTATATTTTTGCACAATTTTAAAATTTTAAAATACAGAATCCAAAATACAAAAGTAGATACAAGGAAATAATAATAAGTTCCGAAATGTCCTGTTTCGTGCTCCCTGATATGTGCATAACCCTAAAACATATCCATTTTTCATCAAAAGAAGTCAAGTTTTTACCTCAGGAAGGGTGGAGGTGGCAACCTTTCCTGTTAAAGTGCACTGAACTATTTTCAATATATGGAGACTGAAAGAAATATGAAGAAAGACTTGCTGTTAAACCAATAGTGTATTTTTTATTTATTACATAATATATTTTAATTTCATTACATTTAATGCTTCAAAATTCTTTATATAGAGAGTAGATAACTGTATAATCACCAATACACTTACATGATAATAAATGATGATGATGTAATTGATCATTGCAACTAATTTTCAGTGGAACAGGACAAACCTTTTGCCTCAGCATAAAACTTCTCTCTATTCTAATAAATTCTGCAGGTTTAAAATGCACCATTTGCATCAATCAATCATCTTCCGTGTAATGTGATGCAGATGTCCAGGGTGATTAGATACTTCTCAAAGGACACATACAGAGGAAATCGGCCCACATCTGTAAAAACATTAAATCAACAGCAGTCTCAGTCCAGTGTGAATTATTTAAACATGGTGCTGTCTGCCTAGATAATATTATACAATAATGGTATTAATATTGGCAATATGAAATATATTTAATTTACAATTAATAATGGACTCCAAAATATCATGAAATTACAAAATATTTTAAAGGCAACTCTGTCTCCAGGGGAGAAGGAGATTGGTGTCAGGTCAATCAGCAAGAAACTCTGTTTCCCAGAACACACCGTGACATACAAACCTGGCCAACATGGACTACACTTCCCAAATGTCCACAACTTTGTCACATTCACAGTCACCAGCTTTCTAATCATACACACCTGAACACACCTACCATCACTACCACACGGTATATAAGGACTCCATTTCCACATCCATGCTGTGAATTAATGCCGAGTGTGTATCTAACAGAATTTGCCGAGCTGTGATCTTTATGTGTTACCATTCTTGTTTTGACGTTGCTTTGCTCCTTGTTTTGAGATTTTGCCTTGTTATTGATATCTGCTAATTGCCTGACAATTTACAATTTTTTGGGTCATGTTTTTTCAACATTGTTTTGGATTTGCTTACCAACCAAAACAAACCAATAAAACTTCTAACTGCATTTGCATCCACCTTCTCCTCCATTTTCTGATATTGGTTAACATCCATCTTCTACCACTTATTTCTTCTTCAGGATCGCAGGGAACCTGGAGCCTATCCCAGGAATTATCGGGCACAAGGCAGGGTACACCCTGAACAGGGTGCAATCACATACACACTCAGACACCGATTCATACACTACGGACACTTTCGACACTTTAGCCAATCAGCCTACCATGCATGTCTTTGGACTGGGGGAGGAAACCGGAGTACCCAGAGGAAACCCCCGCAGCACGGGGAGAACATGCACACACAGCCCTGGCGGGAATCGAACCCCGGACCCTGGAGCCTGGAGGTGAACGTGCTAACCACTAAGCCGACAGCACACAATTTCACTACTTAATAACTGACATAATCGTACCTTTTTATATAATCAGAAAATTATTTATACTGCCAGAAAACTAACGTTAACTAGCCAGCTACCCAACTACAGTGCCTTGCGAAAGTATTCGGCCCCCATGAACTTTTCAACCTTTTGCCACATTTCAGGCTTCAAACATAAAGATATAAAATTATTTTTTTTGGGAAGAATCACCAACAAGTGGGACACAATTGTGAAGTAGAACAAAATCTATTGGATATTTTAAACTTTTTTAGCAAATAAAAAACTGAAAAGTGGTGCGTGCAAAATTATTCGGCTCCTTTACTTTCAGTGCAGCAAACTCACTCCAGAAGTTCAGCGAGGATCTCTGAATGATCCAATGTTGTCCTAAATGACTGATGGTGATAAATAGAATCCACCTGTGTGTAATCAAGTCTCTGTATAAATGCACCTGCTCTGTGATAGTCTCAGGGTTCTGTTGAAAGCGCAGAGAGCATCATGAAGACCAAGGAACACACCAGGCAGGTCCGTAATACTGTTGTGGAGAAGTTTAAAGCCAGATTTGTATACAAAAAGATTTCCCAAGCTTTAAACATCCCAAGGAGCACTGTGCAAGCGATCATTTTGAAATGGAAGGAGTATCAGACCACTGCAAATCTACCAAGACCTGGCCGTCCCTCTAAACATTCAGCTCAGACAAGGAGAAGACTGATCAGAGATGCAGCCAAGAGGCCCATGATCACTCTGGATGAACTGCAGAGAACTACAGCTGAGGTGGGAGAGTCTGTCCATAGGACAACAATCAGTCGTACACTGCACAAATCTGGCCTTTATGGAAGAGTGGCAAGAAGAAAGCCATTTCTCAAAGATATCCATAAAAAGTCTCGTCTAAAGTTTGCCACAAGCCACCTGGGAGACACACCAAACGTCACACCAAACGTTGAGAAACGGCTTTCTTTTTTTCGGCCGAATACTTTTGCAAGGCACTGTAGCTAGCAAGTACAAACACTGACCACTGAATGAGTTATGTGTTTGCTCCATACGGTATATACAGTAATGCACATAACTGATTTAATGGATAGTGATTATTGTGTCAAGAAGGAATCAGAAGAACTGTACAGCAAGTTAATTACGTAGCGATCAATGGAGTTAATGGTTTATGTACTCTGCTGATTCAGAGTTTTCAAGTTTAACACTACCAGAAAATGAACTAACGTTCACTTTTTGCCATCATCAAATAGATAAGAACATTATTACAATGCATGAAAATTAATAACACATATGAATGAGCACAAAGTCTGCCATGCAGGTATCCACCTATTTTGCAGTTGCTCTTTTGCAAGGTCCCACAATTCCACTCATCGTAGGGGTAAATGACTATTAAAATATTTTAAAATCTTTAAAATAAAACTGAAATCTAAAAAAATGTCTAAAATATAATTTTACATAAATAGAAAATACTCTTTGTGATAAAAAAAAAAAATCTGTCATGAAATAAGCCTTTCCCAGTGGTAGACTCAGTAAGTATTTATCCTTATCTATAAATTAATTATAGCTAAAAGCTATTTAAAAAAAAAAAGTCTTAACAGATGCTTGGCAGTGGCATCTCCGCAGCAACACAACAAACTACTGTACATGCTTTGTGAAAAGTGTGTAGGAATGATACAATGAAGCTTCCGTAATGCTTTTGTGTTAAAACAAGTCACGAATCATTGCATGGTGTGTTGTTGTATTTTGTATTGTTTTACTTTACTTGAATTTGCCTTGTTCTGTTCTGCTGCTTTGGCCCATGTGCAACACATTTAAAAGCTTTTTAACACAACCATAGCAACTAAAAATGTTACAAAGCAGCTGCCACCATAACCTGCATTTGAATATGTAGAACAAATACAGTGCTCTCCACAAATATTGGCACCCTTGGCAAATATGAGCAAAGAATTCTGTGAAAGATTTTCTTTATTGTTCGAGCTTTTGATCTTTTGTTTAAAAAAAATCACAATTTTTTTTTTAATTAAGCTTCACCCACAGGCTGTTTGAACCAGTAAATTTCATCCTACCTCCAAGGCAGACCTGTCAGCAGTTGGCTAATGATTTTAACTTTTGTGATTTGGGGGGTTTTGTGTATTATCCCTGTGTCCTTATGAAAAACATATCAAATGTTTGTTTGTTTTTCAGTCTGAACATCACCCCTATATATTTTTAATAAAAGTATTGTAGTTATGCTTTCCTGTGCAACTCACAGCCCATTTTACTTGGTAGCTCAGTGGCTAAGATTTTGGACTACTGATCGAAAGGTTGTGAGTTCAAATCCCAACACTGCTATTGCTGGGCCCGTTAGCAAGGCCCTTAATCCTGAACTGCTCAGTTGTATAAATGAGATAAATGTAAGTTTCTCTGGATAATGGCGTCTGCCAAAATGCCATAAATGTAACTATAAATGTATTTACAAACCAGACCTCCAGTTACCATTGCTATTCATTAGCTTGCTAATAGCCTTCTCAAAGAAGGTAATGAAGAACTACTCATTCATTCATCTTTAGTTCCTGCGTAGTTGACTACGAGTTGTTGAACAGTACTGAAAAGTGTTTGCAAATAAATTAGCTGCATACAGTCGTACTAACCTGTGTGTTTCCAATACTGCCACGAGAGAAAAGAGCTGAGCTGTGAGAATAGGTTGTGATAGTTGGAGGAGAAAAACAACTTTATCCAAAGGATTACCAGAGTTCTTAAGAGTCTATAAGAACAAAGTACGCATCTTTTGCATCTGTTTGATAGTTATCCTGTAAGTGGATTAGCCAACATGAGTTATGTATCTTGTGTGGATAACATCTATGCTTTTATACACAGTGTTTAAAACAGGGTACAGTTTTTACATTTCCTCAGAGTTTCTGTAACTCCTTATAGCCTAAAAAATAGTTATAGATTAAAGTGTTATAATAGGCCAGTAAAAGCCTCAAGTTGGTGCAAGGAAAGACAGAAATGGTTATTAAAAAAGACAAGGTTTCCTGGACTGAATGTTAAAGCTCTTACTGGTTTACCCCAGGGAGCATCTGTGGAAGTGACAATAATAGCCCAATAAAAGCACATATTTAGAGAGTAATGCAGTCTGCTTAAGTTCCTTTCCAGCGAATTGCAATCTTGGCACACATACTGCATCTGTCCACCAGACACACATGGTAGTAGGAGCTAAGTTTGGTTCTGATCTAACAATACAAGAAGACTCAGTATTACACAGTATGCTATTTTGTTTTGTTTTTTGGCAGTAGCATGATGGCTGTCAGGATTTAGGTCTGTGTATGAGAAAGGTGGAGGAGCTTTGAGATGACACTACAAGAGTGTGATGACACTAACAAGCATCTGTGTGGAGTTTTGCGTGTTTTCCCCGTGTTCATTTAGGTCTCCTCTAAGTCCCAAGTTTCCTCCCACTCTCCAAAATCATATGTGTGTGTTTGTGTGTATGGTGTCTTGTGATGGACTGGTGCCCTATCCTGGGTGTATTCTTGCCTCCTGCCCTTTGTTCCCGTACATTCACCCTTACCCTGATCAGGATGAAACAGTTAATTAAGATGAATGAATTAAATGAATGATAAAAGCTAACAGAATATTATGGTGTATGTACTGTATGTGTATGGCTCTAAAACAGAGGTCTTCAATCTTGTCCACAAAGGGCTGGTGTGGCTATAGGTTTTAAGTACAACCTGGCAGGACTCACACCAGTTTCAACTTGTTAAATCAGTTAAAGTTGTGCTCTAATCAACTATCAACTGTGCCTTTTATTTGGCTGGAATTAAAGCCTTCAGCCACACTGGCCCTTTGCAGATAAGATTGAAGATCCGTGCTCGAGAGTGTAACCAAAGACACTCCATTGCTTTCAGTTCATTCATCCCTTATCATGTAGTGCAGTGGTCACCAACCCTCTTCCTTGAGATCTACCTTCCTACAGGTTTCATGTTCAACCAAAATCTACTGTAACAAATATGTTTTAGTTGATCAAGAACTTCTTAAGGCAAAGATTATATGCCTTCATGGAACCGATTATGGTTGGAGCTAAAATATTCAGGAAGGTGGATCTCCAGGAACAGAATTGTTGACCACTGATGTAGTGGCATCCAAAATGTGTCTTTTCCCTGAAACGTTCTCAAGGTGCCATGCAGTTGTTTTAGGTTCAATAGCTAACACAAATATTTGAACATCATGGATAGCCAGTGATCAAAATAAACAAATTTGTTGGAGGTTTAGAAAGAAGAAAGAGGGAAAGAGAAATAGTCTGGAAAAATTTACTGTAAATTCAAAAGCAGGGGGTAGATAAATAGAGAGGCATACAGACCTCTTGGGACCCAAATATCCAAGGAAGCTGAAAAACAGTGAAGCTGAAAAGCATGCTGTCTCCCTGTCATATTTGTTTAGATACTGGCAAATCTCCTTTAAACAGAGGTGGTTTTTGTGAGAGGGAAAAGCTTAACATACTCCTTGTTGTGTTTTTCTCCAAACAAACTGTGGCATTTTGAGAAGAAGTCAGAACCTCAGCATGTGGCCAACATAAACAATTCCCAAATAAGCCAGACTCAGAAAACAGGAGAAGATGCATATAATGAGCTCAGGAGTGTGTGTGTGTGTGTGTGTTTGTGAGAGAGAGAGAGAGAGAGAGAGAGAGACTGAGGACTTCTTGAGTGGTGCATTTTTTTTCTGCTAACCATTGTTTTCAAAATTAACATTTTCACAATTAATACTTTGTGAAACCTTCTACTGTAATGTCTAACAAGATTGGAGACAATTATAGAGGGATCTTCGACCATCCACCATGCAGAACATTTCAAGCCCAAGAGTTCCTTCATCTCTCTTAGCTTTCAGTAGGGTTCATGTTTATAGCAAAACACTGATTTTGTGTCCTGCCGCCATTTTTGGATGAACGATTTGCGTCATTGTCCTTTCCAAAGATACATCTACAGCCAAGTCCTAATCTACTGATGCACACCAAAGTGTTTTTGGCTGAAATTTTCCTGATTCTTAGCAAACACTGCAAAACAGCTCCAAAGTGTGAATGATAACATTATATTTTACAGTGGCCATCAGATGCTTTTATCTTTACGTGGTTCATTTTTTCCACTAAATATGCTGATTCTGTGCATGATCACTAGAGCAAATGTTATAAAACTTTTCAACTTTTTGAACACAAAAAATATTATCTAAACAGTGCTGTGAAAATATTTGTTCATAAGGCTGCAGATGTTGAAAGATGCAGATACAGTTAGAGGAATTGTAACTGCAATACTGCCAGCCAACACAATATTCAGCAGAAAGCACACAATAAAACATTTACCCAGTAAGACTAACAGTACTCTCAAAGACTTGAAAAGAAATCCCAAAAGATTGGGATTTTGGGTATAGCAAAATTATGGTCAAATGATGTTCTGATAGTATAACCCCAATTCTGAAAAAAGTTGGGACAGTATGGAAAATGCAACAAAAACAAAGAGTCATTTGAAAATTCTGTTCACCCTGTACTATATTGAAAGCACATTATTAACACATTATTTGATGTTTTACTTTGTGGGTTTAATTTATTTTTGAAAATATGCACCAATTTTAAATCTGATGACTGCAACCCAGTCCAAAAAAGTTGGGACAGTCAGCTGTTTACCATTGTGTAGCATCTCCTTTTCTTTTAATAACACTTATTAAGCATTTGTGCGCTGAGTGAAGACACCAGTTGGTTAACTTCAGTGAGCAAAATTTTCCATGAATCTATTATGCATTTCTTCAGCTAAGCAACTGTACAGGACCTTCGTTGACTTATTTTGCACTTCATAATGCACCGAACATTCTCAATCAGAGACAGGTCAGGACTGCAGGCAGGCATGCTAGCACCCACACTCTCTGCTTATGCAACCATGCGCTTGTAGTCCGGGCAGAATGTGGTTTGGCATTGTCCTGCTCTGGGTGGTAGCATATGTTGCTCCAAAATGTGTACATATATTTCTGCATTAATGATGCTCTCACAAATGTGCAAGCTACCCATGCCATGGGCACTGACGCGCCCCCATACCATGACAGACGCTGTCTTTTGGACCTGATGCTGATAACAGCTTGGATGGTCCTTTTCCTCTTTGGCCCGGAGAACATGACCGTTGTTTTGTCCAAAAACTATTTGAAATGTTGACTATGATACCACTATGCTACTGTCCATTTCAGATGAGACTGAGCCCAGAGAAGTCGGTGGCACATCTGGCCAGTGTTGATGTATGGCTTCTGTTTTGCATAGTAAAGCCTTAACTTGCATCTGTGGACGTAGCGGCAAATGGTGTTGACTAACAAAGGTTTACCAAAGTATTCCTGAGCTCATGTCAGGATAACCATTACAGAGTCATGATGGTTTTAAGACAGTGACGTCTGAGGGATTGGCGATCGGAGATCAGATCAGGAGTGGTTTTCGGCCTTGCTCTGTACGCACTGAGATCTTACGGGATTCCTTGAATCTTTTACTTATATTGTGCACTGTAGAAGGTGAAATTTCCTTTGGGGAAATTTTGTCTTTGGGAAATGTTGTTCTCAAAGTGCTGGATTACTCGCTGACGCATCTGTTGGCAGATTGGCGAGCCTCGACCCATCCTTGTTCTTGAAGAACTAGGCCTTTTTTTGGAGGTTCCTTACATACTATGATTAGACGATTGCCTCACCTGTTTCACATCACCTTCTTATCTCACCTTGTCCCATCGCTTAAACTGCCCCTATCCCAACTTTTTTGGAAAGCGTTGAATGCATAAATTTCAAAATAAATATTTATCTTCAAAACATTATGCAGTTGATTAGGTAAAACATCAAATACCTTGTCTTCATTAGTTTTTTCTGAATTAGGGTTGTAATACTGAGCTTGCTGATTTTTGCACAACATCTGTTTTAGTTAACACAGAATTTACACTAATGAACCCTGTACAGAGTTAGAGGTATATGACACAAAACAGGATTGTGTGTGTGTGCGCGCACGTGTGTGTGTGTGTGTGCGCGCTAATCATAGAAGACATTAAAAAATCATTTGAAACACTCTCTGTACTGTATAACTGTGAATGATCAATGCTTATTTTAAGTTATATGTGCATTCTTAAGATTTGACTGCCTTACAGTTGACCTAACAAAAATCACCACGTCTATGCAAAAAAAAAATCTCCTCTGTGACATACTGTTGGAAAAATCCCTGCGCACACAGTCAGTGCGTTGAAACTTATAGTGAAATGGAGATGGGGAGACCTGCTGGAACAAGCTGGTCACAAATCTTCCCATCAGTACTCAGTTCTTACGGCACAGCTGTGTTGGTCTGTGCTATTG